GAGTTTGGACGGCTTTGGACGGCTTTGGACGGTAGTTTGGACGGTAGAGTTTGTCGAATGTTTCAGGCCATTCCTTGGTTTGGACGGCTTTGGCCGGAGATTGGACGGTAGTGGTTTGGACGGCTTTGGCCGGCTTTGGGCGGTTTGGGGTTTGCGCTGCATTTCCGATGTTGTTAAGGGTGCGCTTGGGTTTTGCGCTGCATTTCCGATGTTGCCAAGGGGGCGTTCGATGTTTGCTCGATATGCTAGCAAAGCTCGCGCCGAAATCTCGAAAATATCAAACATGCCGACGCTCTGTCAGCACACAACTGAAAAAAACGTTGCACGCAAGCTCGACACGGGGGCGCCTCCTAGTCCTTCTTCCTGGCGCTCTGCTGCCTGAACATCATCTTCACCTCGTCGGAGAGATTCTGCACGGGCTTCATGAGCTCCTCGGCGCGGGCTTTATGCACGAAATGATTGGCTCGGATGTCGATATGTGTACATATGAATATATGTATATGTGTATGGGTATGCATACATCTGGCATTCTATACATGACATTTGCTTATGTATGTAAATATGTACTCATAAAGCATACATATAATATATCTATATATAACTACACACATAGCTAAGCACGTGCATATACATAGCTCATGCGCCACGTGGGGAGGGTGTCAGCGGCAAACCAATGACGAGAGAGAGAGGGCATGGGCATGACGGTCAGGGCCGAATGGGGATCAAGGGCAGGGACAAGTTGCGTGGGAGCGGAGTGAGCGACTTTGGAGTTCAACGGAGCGCCGCTAGATGAGGAGGCGCCAACAAACACAGGGGGAGGGCGACGAGAATAAACATGATCGGAGCAATCTCGTCCTTGACCATGTTCGTGATATCCACCTCCACCTGGGCTGGCCCGAGACTCTTCATGAGGTCCTTCAGGTCCTGCGTCAGGGCCTCGCTGTACAGCTGTTTCGAGTTGACGATGCGCTTCACCTCCGATCCCATTTTTATGATGCCCGCTCGCGCCCTCCCCCTGTCTCTGCTGTTCACACCCCTCCTCCAACTTACATTCCTCTTCCACCCATCCCTCCCGATCTCCTCCTCCTCCACCTCACATTCCCCCCATCCACGTATCTCCCCTCCTCCTCCATCCTCCACTACTCCAATCATCTCCTCCACCTCCGCCCTCCGCTCAAGTTCCCTCCTCTCTTGCCTCCTCATTCCCTCCTCCCTCAGCAGGCATTCATGTGTAGAATTTGGTTTTCGAAATTCGGTGTTTTTTTGTTTTTTCTGAGCGCACTCAGGCCCCCACTGGGGCCCACGAAATAGGCCCACTCACCCGAGAATAAACACACGTTTCAGAACACGTCGAAAGGGAGCTGGTTCGAGCGACCGGCCATCCCCCCAAACCTCCCGTCACTCCCATCGCCTCTCTCTTTCAACCCCACCCTTTCTTCTTTCGCGAGCCCCCCCCTGCTTCTGCCAACTTCCTTAGCAGAGATCGCTGCCACTCTTGCAGCGGGAACTGTCAACCCAGCATCCCAGGGCGTGCGCAGCAGCGTCTATCGCTGCAACCACTGGACTCCAATGGAGTCCCTATGTGCTGGCCCTCAGAACATGTCAAACAGGCCAAGGGGGATCTCCGTCGAGTCGCCACCCTGCTCATGCTTCTTCTCGGTCGGCGGCGCGGTCGCCGCTGTCGGCATCGGATTCGTCGGTTTGACCCCTACCCCAGTCACCGCTGGCACCAATGGCTGGCTGACCTTGTCGCCCGACACTGGCTCGACCAGCGACTTGGTCTCCGACGGAGACTGCGGCTTGACAGCGGGGTCAGGCTGGGGCTGGTGCTGTGGCTGCGGATCGGGACTGCCACACCTCGGCTTCTTTGGCGATGGCGTCCTCGAGGTAGGCGCCGCCGCCGCGGGCCTCTTCTTGGCCGCGAGCGCCAACTGGCCAGCGCTCTTGGCCGCAGGCTTCTTCCCGACCGGTCGCTCGGCTTCCTCCTCCTCCTCGCTCTCCTCGGCCTCATCATCGTCGCCCTCCGCGGGGTCCTTCTCGGCGCCAGGCTCTTCTTCATCAGCCTCCTCCTCCTCGTCCTCCTCGCCCGCCTTGTCCTTCTCCTCGCGCGCCTTGTCCTTTGCGGGTGCCTTCGTCTGCTTGGCGCCCTGCGCCGCGGCTGGCCTCCTCATCAGCGCAGCAGCAGCCCTCTCGTCCTTCGCATTCTTGTCGGCGAACTCCTTCTTGGCCACCTCCATCTTGTCCTTCTCGGTCTTGCCTTGCACGTGCTGGCTCGTCTGCTCCTTCAGGAAGGCGATCTGACCGTCGCAGTCTTCAATCTCGGCCATCTGCATGACCATCTTCGGCCTCTTCGCGTAGGAAACCTCTTCCCAGATGGCGAAGAATTTCTTCCCAAGCCTCGAGTACCTCGCCAGCTGCACCAGCATGCCAGTGCTCGTGTGCTTAGCCTCCATGAGCTTGTTATCGGAGCTGTCCCTGCCCTTGCCCTTGCCCTTGCCTTTGCCACCGCCTTTGGCCGACGCGTACCAAGCGCGGAGCTTCGCGAACGTCAGCCCAGGGATCTGCTTCGCGTGCCCGTCCTTCCACTTCACCGTGACCTCGGCGCTGCCATCCATGGACGGGTCGTCTTCGGGCTTCTCGGCGTAGTCGGGGACCAAGGACGCGGACCCCTCGGCCAAGGACACGCGGTAGACTGCCTGGGGGCTATAGAGGAGGCGGGCAGATGGCTCATGGAAAGCCGACGATCGAGGACGGGGGCCTGGGCAATTCGATGCCGGTCACGATCGGAGGGAGGGGCGGTGTGGAAATCAAGTTTTACATTGGCACTCTCGCGCCCTCAGGTGCTCGTCCACGCCGTACTCATAGCCAGCAGTCTCAGGGCCAGATTAAGTTAGCCATCGCTCCTCCTCCTCCTTCCTCCTCCTCCTCCTTCTCCTCCTCCTCCTCGCCTCCTCCTCCTCCTCCTCCTCCTCCTCCCTCCTCCTCCTCGTCTTAAGCACCCCACTTCTCATCGTAGCCTCCACCGCATGGCCCGCCGATTTTTTCTGCATCCAGCCGTGGCGACGAGAAGCCACCAGAAACCCCTTGCAGCGATCCGCCCCCCCCAAAAATGCACGACCTCTGCAGCGTCGCGCTCGCGATCCTCCGTCGCGACAACGAACGACTTGACCCACTTGGCGCGCTTGTCCGTAGGTTTGTTCCTAGGAATGGGCGCTCATCGCCGCTCCTCCTCCTCCTCCTCCCTCCTCATTGTCCTCCTCCCCCTTCTCCTCCTCCTCCTCCTCCCCATCCTCCCCCTCCTCCTCCTCCTCCTCCTCCTCCTCCTCGCCGCTCCTCGCTTTGATGACGCCCTGCGACACATGGCGAAGCATCGCTCGGACCATCTTGCTCCGCGATGATGCCCAATCCGAAGCCTGGCTGGCGAGCTTCCACTGCTTCTCATTCGCGGAGGCCAAGGCTCTGAGCACCTTCTCGCCGTAGAGCTGCGTGAACGTCTGGTTCGGGTACAGCGCGTTGCGAAGGTCGATCAGCATATCTTGCCAATTCGTCAACTCGTCGGTGTCCGCGGAATCGTCCATGTCCTCCGAGTACTCCAGCGCGTCCGCGTCATCGATGTGGCGCTGCAGGACCTCCACGATCTTCTGCTCGAGCTCCTCGTCATCCTCTGCTGGGCCGCGAAGGCGCCTACGGCCGCTCGAAGCTGCAGGCATAGCGACGGCTGGAGCCGTCGATCCAGGCGCGCGCGCCGCGCGCCCCTCCTGCCCCGCTTGGGGGAAGAGCCCAAATGGCTACGCAAGCTCCCCATCCACCCCCCCTCGTTCTCCCTGCCGCCCTTCTCACTTGTCCCCCCCGCCCTGGTCGCAGATATCTGTGGCGCACGCGGCGGGCTTCTGATCTGGTCGACCGGGCACGACCGACGAATCGGCGCTTGCGGCGGGCTTCTGGTCTCCTGACCGGGCACGGCCGACGAATCGGCGCTTGCGGCGGGCTTCTGGTCTCCTGACTGAGCGCGGCCGACGATCGGCCCGCCCTCGCCCGCGACGACGGGCCGCCCACGCCGGTCACAGCGACATCGGTCCGGTCACGGATGGGAGGGGAGGAGGGAGGAGGGAGGAGGGAGGAGGTAGGAGGGAGGAAGGAGGAGAGAGGATATGGAGGAATAATGAGGGGAGCAACACCCCAGCAAGGAGGAGGGAGGAGGGAGGAAGGAAGTGGAAGGATGGGGGGTCACAGCACCCCTCCCGCGGCCCCGCGGCCCCGCCCCACCTCGGCGGTGGCCGCGTCCATCGCCCCGCGGATCCCCTCTGAGCTGGCCCAGGCCCAGCGAGAGTCGTTTTCGATAAGGTTGTCGAGGAGGCTCACCTGGCGGCGGACGGCGGGGGGCGGCGGGCGGAGGGGCGGAGAAGGAGGATGTGGGGGGAGCAGTGGAGTAGCTGGAGGCAAGGGCAGGTATATCACAAGTGTGGGGGATGGGGTGAATCCCGTGCCTCCACCTCCTCCTCCGCTTCCTCTTCCTTTCTCCTGGGTTACGCGTGTTCACCATTGCTCCTCCTCCTCCTCCTCCTCTCCCGCCTCCTCCTCCTTCTCCTCTTGCTCCTGCCCCGTCTCCGTCTCCTCCTCCTCCGCCTCCTGCCCCTCCTCTTCCTCCTCCTTCCTCTCCTCGTAGTCGCCTGCGACATCACACCCGAGTGCATCGTCTTGACCTTGGCGTAGTCCAGCTTCCACTGGGGCGCCTTGGTCCTCTTCTGCTCGGAGCGGCAGCCGCTGCCGCCGCCGTCGCCACCACCGCCGCTGCCGACGTTGGCCGCGGTGCGCTTCTTGCCGCGCTGGCCCTGGGCAGCAGCCTGCGGCTCATGAGGGGGCGTCACTGGCGGGGGAGTGGCTCCCAATGGGCTCATCTCCTGCGGGGGCGGGGTCTGGGCGACGGGCGTGGCTGCGGCGGCCGCGCCCGCGGCGGTGGCCGCGGCTGCGGCGCTCGGGCCCGCGCCACCGGGCACGACCCCACCAGCCGCGGCAGCAGCGCCCGAGCTGATATTCGACAAGGCGCCAGGCGTCTGCGACGGCTGCCTCGTCCAAGTCTCGAACTCATGCCAGGCCTTCTCGTACTTGTCGGACAGCTCGTGGGTCACGAAGAGAATGAGGAGGGACGATGTCATCTTGCACCACTTCGTCCACTTCCCCCCCATCATCACTGCCTTCGTGCAGTAACGGATCGCGAGCTTCTTCCCAGTCCCCCCCCCGCCGAATTTCCAGGCAATGCGGCCAAGGGAGAGGTGTTCGCCTTTCAATTTCTCCTTCTTCGAGTTCGTCGTGGCAATCTTCATCTCGTGCATCCTCTCCCACTTCTTGAACTCTCCCTCGGCCCACCTCTGGCGGAAGGCAGCTTTGTTCGTGTAGCCAGCCTCCCTGATGTAAGCCGCGTGGAGCTCGGGGTCCCTGTCCAGCGCCCGCTGCCAGCGACCCGCTATCGGGTTGCCAGCTCCCTTCGCGGTTCCGAATAGGAAACCCTTGGACTGCAAGTGCCTCCACATCAACTCCTCCTCCGTCGTCGCGACCTCGCTGTTGTCCTCTGGCATAGCGTCGGGTCGGTGTTGGCGTAGCTGGCACATCAGGTTGCCCTGGTAGAAGTTGGAAAACTTCTGCTCGACGGCGTCGATCTCCTCATTCGGGTTTTCCTGCTCGAGCATGATCATACCCTGGGACAGCTGATTGACCAGCTCATCTTTCGTCAAGGTGCCCGCCAGCCTCGCCTGGTCATCCTGCGAGAATGAATCTGCAGGCTCATCGCCTGGCACGTCGCGGCCTGCAGGGCGCGACGACGACGCCCGTGATAACTGTACACTCCCGCCGCCCTCCCACTTCGCCGCCGCCCGCGGGCGAAGTGGGGAGTGGCGGGAGTCGTTCAATTCTGGGGCTCGTCGTCGGCACCCCAACCTTGGGGCGCTGCGCCCGCGCTAAGCCCAAGCGCGCCAGGTCCTGAGGTCAGCCCGCCAACCCTGGGGTTTCCTTGCCTTGCCTCCCCCTCTGCCCCTCCACGGGGATGGAGGGGCCGAGGACCTTCAACGGAATAAGGGTTCGAATTAAGTTTGAAGGTCAGAGCGGTCCCCAACTGGTGTTGCGGAAGAGGCCCGCCTGCTGCCACTCGTGAGGGATGGCGAACAGGTTCTGCGCGCCGCCGAGCTGCTGCAAGCCCGACTGCCCCTGCCACGGGCAGGGATGACCGGCCACGCCCAGCATCCCCACGGAGCCCGCGGTCTGCGAGGCACCTGCTGCGGCGCCGACGCTGGACACCTGCGCGATCTCATGGCGCGGCCTAGCGTTCTCACTGGCCCACAAGCTTCCCAAGGTTCCCAAGGGCGGCAATGAGGGCGTCGGCAAGCTCGCATCGATGAATCGGGGGGCAGCGCCTAAGCTCGGCGCCCATGGCCCGCCCGAGGGGCCCGACGAAGGCTGCCCCGTCGGCTGCTGGATGCCCGTCGGCTGTTGCTGGATGCCTGCCGTCGGCTGTTGCTGGAGGCCCGTCGGTTGCTGCTGGAAGCCCGTCGTCGGCTGCTGCTGGACGCCCGTCGTCGGCTGTTGCTGGACGCCCGTCGTCGGCTGCTGGACGCCTGTCGTCGGCTGTTGCTGGATGCCCGTCGGCTGCTGGACGCCCGTCGTCGGCGGCTGCTGGATGCCCGTCGTCGGCGGTTGCTGGATGCCCGTCGTCGGCGGCAGCTGGGCGCCATCCGTCGGCTGGACGCCCGTCGGCTGCTGGGCGCCCGTCGGTTGCTGCTGGATGCCCGTCGGTTGCTGGACGCCCGTCGGTTGCTGCTGGACGCCAGTCGTCGGCTGGGTGCCCGTCGTCGGCTGCTGCTGGGCGCCCGTCGGCTGTTGGGGGAGGCCCGTCGTCGGCTGTTGCTGGATGCCCGCCGTCGGCTGTTGCTGGATGCCCGTCGTCGTCGGCTGTTGCTGGATGCCTGTCGTCGGCTGTTGGTGGATGCCTGTCGTCGGCTGCTGGGCGCCAGTCGGCTGTTGCTGGACGCCTGCCGTCGGCTGCTGCTGGAAGCACGTCGGCTGAAGCTGGAAGCCCGTCGTCGGCTGCTGCTGGATGCCCGTCGTCGGCTGTTGCTGGATGCCCGTCGGCTGTTGCTGGATGCCCGTCGTCGGCTGTTGGGGGATGCCCGTCGTCGGCTGTTGCTGGATGCCCGCCGTCGGCTGTTGCTGGATGCCCGCCGTCGGCTGGATGCCCGTGGGCTGCTGGACGCCCGTCGGTCGTTGCTGGATGCCCGTCGGTTGCTGGATGCCCGTCGTCGGCTCCTGGACGCCCGTCGTCGGCTGTTGCTGGAAGGCCGCCGTCGGTTGTTGCTGGACGCCCGTCGGCTGTTGCTGGATGCCTGCCGTCGGTTGTTGCTGGACGCCCGTCGGCTGCTGGACGCCATCCGTCGGCTGTAACTGGGCGCCCGTTGTCGGCTGGATGCCTGTCGGCTGCTGGACGCCCGTCGGTTGCTGCTGGTCGCCCGTCGGTTGCTGGACCCCCGTCGGCTGCTGCTGGTCGCCCGTCGTCGGCTGTTGCTGGACGCCCTCCGTCGGCTGCTGCTGGACGCCCGTCGGCTGTTGCTGGATGCCCATCGTCGGCTGCTGCTGGACGCCCGTCGGCTGCTGGGCGCCCTCCGTCGGCTGGTGCTGGATGCCCGTCGTCGGCTGTTGCTGGATGCCCGTCGTCGGCTGCTGGGCGCCCGTCGGCTGCTGCTGGATGCCCGTCGGTTGCTGCTGGACGCCAGTCGTCGGCTGGATGCCCGTCGTCGGCTGCTGGACGCCCTCCGTCGGCTGGATGCCCGTCGTCGGCTGCTGGGCGCCCGTCGACGTGTCCGCCTCGTTCCACGCGCCGAGCTCGCCCTCGCCCGGGCGCGGTGGCGAATCGGGAATGTCGATCACGCCTACAAGAGGAGGAGGAGGGGGAGGGGGAGAGGAGGATGAGGAGGGTGGCGAGGGCGAGAAGGAGGACGAGGAGGAGAACAACGAGAGAGAGAGAGAGAGAGAGAGAGAGGAGGAGGAGGATAACAACGAGAGAATGAGGAGAGGAGGACAAGGAGGAGGACAAGGGCGAGAAGGAGGACGAGGGCCTTGCTGCTCCGCCTCGCGCCTCTGCAGCTCCGAGAAGAAGGCGTCCTAGCTGGGGGGCACGGGCGGGCGAGGGGATCAAAGGAAGGAGGGGCGGAGGCGGGAAACGATATCCTTTTTTTTGTTCATCCTCGAGTAGCGCCTCCACCTCTTTACGAAATCGATCTTCGCGATAAGGGTCGCCCTCTTGGTCGATATGGAGCGGCGCTTCGGGTTCGCGACGACGAGATCGCTGATGATGTTCGGGGTGGGCGCCTCTAAAGTTTTGTTGTTTGTTTTTTTTGTTGGGGGAGGGGGGGGGGGGGGCGATGGGTCGAGAAAATACCTCGAGTGGGTACGGCTTCCACGTGATGGGGTACCCCAGCCTGTGCTTCGCCAGCATGATATCGCACATATCGATATAGTAGGTCTCTTCGTTAGCGGATGCCGAATGGAGGGGGGCTGCGATGGAAAGCGAAATTAGGATAAGGAGGGCGAGGAGGAGGAGGAGGAGGAGGAGGAGGAGGAGAAGGATTAGGAAGAGGAGGAGGAGGGAGGAGGAGGAGGAGGGGGGGGGAGGAGGAGGAGGCTAGCGAGGCGGGAGAGGAGCATTGACCCTTCGGCGCTCCGCGTGCGTCCGCGCCCCGCTCGGCGGCGGCGGCGGCGGGCCCTCGCTGGCCATCGCGATCGCCGCCCGCAAGTCGGCGGCGATCGCGTCCAGCCTCAAGCGGTCCTCCTCCTTCTGGGCCTCCTCCGCGACGCGCAGCGCCTCCTCCATCTCCTTGTCGTACTCCGCCTTCGTGATGACCGTCGTGAAGGGTGCCGATGGGGAGGAGGAGGAGGAGGATGAGGAGGAGGAGGAGGAGGAGGAGGAGGAGGAGGAGGAGGAGGATATCGGGGAATGAGGAGGAGGATAACGAGACGGAGGAGGAAAAAGAGGAGGAGGAGCAGCAGCAGGTGGAGGAGGAGCAGGAGGAGCAGGAGCAGGAGGAGGAGAAACGGCGGCTGCGAATGGAGGAGGGAGGAGAAGGGGGAGGAGGAGAAGGAGGAGGAGGAGGACGACGACGACGACGCCGACGAGGAGGAGGAAGAGCGAAGAGCCTGGCTGCCGCCAGCAGCCGAGCTCGACGCCATGCGCTCCCGCGCGCGTGTGCAGACCTCTGCTGGTCGAAAAATAATGGAACCAAACGGCTGCAACATGAGAAGAGAAGGAGGAGGAGGAGGCGCCGACGAGAAGAGGGGATGGATAAGGAAAACAAGGTGAGGGAGGAGGAGGACGATGACGAGAAGGCGGAGGAGGAGGAAATGACGGGGTGGAGGAGGAGGAGAGGAGGAGGAGGAAGAAGGAAGGAGAGGAAGAGAAACTTCTGGAGGTCCGATCGGACCCCGCTCTCGCTCGAGACGTCCTCGATTTCAAAGTTGCTCGAACGGAGGGCGGCTCGTCTTCAAAACGGTTTTTCAACAGCACAAATCATATCAAAAGCACAATTCATATCATATACATCAGAAGCCTAGTCACTGGCACGGAAATAACGCATGATATATGATGATATGCATGACAAATAATATCAAAAATAAGAACTACATATGAGTGATCTTATATCGTCAACATGACAAAACATCGACTCTTATAATAAGATCCAAACGACCTCTGGGTAATATTATAGAGAGGGTGATAAACAAGTTCCACCGAAGACGCACATACACAGAACTTTTCAGATGGCGCGCGAGGGCTTCTGATCCAGGCCTCCCAGATGGGGTTGGAGTAGATGGGCTCGGAGGATCGCACCGCATCGCCGATGCATCGCCGATGCGGCTCGATGTGCAACCCGATGTTTGCTTCACGCCAAGGTCGCAGATGCATCGCCGACGTCGACGATGCATCGCTGGTGCACCGCCTCTGCATCGGCGATGTGTCGCCGATGTGTCGGCGACGCGGCGCGATCCTTCGACCCCGCCCACTCCGACCCCACCTATAGGAGGCCCCTGTCTGAGCAGCCCCGCCGCCTCCCGCTTGGGACTTCTCCTGGCTTCCCCCCCTCGCTCGCCGCCGAGCGGCCCCATGGCGGCCGCGCGGCGCGGGCGGCCGGCCGGGCCGCGGCGCGCGCGCCGCGCCGCCCCGCGGCGCTGGCCGCCGCGGCGGCGGCCGCGGCCGGGCTGCTGGGCCCGGCCTGCCGCGGCCTCGCCGCGGGGGTGGGCGGCAGGCGCGCGCCCTCGAGCGGGCCCCGGGGCGCCCCTCGCGCCCCCCCCCCCCCCTTCCCTCTGGGTCCCCGCGCCCCTCGCCCTCTCCGTCCTCTCCCCCCTCTCCTCCCTCCTTACCGGCGACTGGCAGGGGGAACGGTTGCGCCGGGTGTGGTTTGCGATCGGCACCGTGGGGGCTTGGGGGGCACGACGCTGTCCTCGTCGGGCCTCCTCGGGGCGCGGGGGAGCTCCATCTAGGTGCTCGCGCGCCCCCCAGGGGGGGCCCCCAGGATGTTCCCCAGGGTGCCGGTTGCAAAACCGCACCCTTTGCAAACCACACGCTTTGGAGTCGCCGATCTTTGCGTGGCCTGGCGGACCTGTGTCCTGCCCATGCGGTCCCGCCCGTCCCGATCGCCAGGGCTCGGCGGGTGCATCTGGGCCGCATTTTTAGGAGCCTCTGGCCCAGAGACCTCAGCAAGGCTGAGAAGGTGGCTCGGGGGTCCTAGTTTTACATGGGTTCGCTTCGCGACGGGTCTCATCTCATCTTCTCTTCCCCGTTTGGCCCCTCTTCCCCCTCCTGCAGCTCCGCCCCCTCCCCTTCCCCCCCTCCCTCCCTCCCTCCCTCCCTTCCTCCCTCTCCCTCCCTCCCCCCCCGCCGTGCAGCCGCCGGTTTTTGACCGTTTGCGGCCTCCAGGTGCCCTCGCTGGGCCTAGGGCGTGTCAAACAACCAGCAGGGAAGTGGTCCAGACCTCCGGGGCCCACGCATCGACAAAAGCTGGAGCAGCCGGATGTCTGGGGGGGCACTGCCGGATCGCGATGCTTGGCATCGCTCGGACGTGTGCACTGCTTCTCGGCGAGGGCCATCGAGGAGCCTCCTGGATCATGTTGTTGCAGACAGCGGGCGCGAAACCGAAGCCTGCGCGGGGAGTGGACGTGTCCGAGCGATGGCAGGCGAGGGGGGAAGCAGCTCGCCGCGTGGGGCACGGGTCCCGAGGGGAAGACGGGCCCCGAGGTTTCTGCTGCCGCTGTCGGGTTTCCTCCCTCCCCCCCCGCAGGCGTGGCCCGACGCCCGCCGTGGCCGCCGGGGGGGCGCCCGGGGAGGCCCTGGCGCCGCCCGCGGCGCGGGAGGGGCAGCGCAGCCGGGCCAAGCGGGCGCTGCTGGAGGCCATCGCGCCGCTGCGCCGCGGCTTCACGGCCTCGGCCGAGCAGCGGCCCGCCGTGGGGTGTAATGATGGGCCTGTTTCCCACCACCACCAGCATAAGTTGGAGGGGGAGGGGGTCCTCCTCCTCCTCCTCCTCCTCCTCGTCCTCCTCTTCGTCCTCCTCCTCGTCCTCCTCTTCGTCCTCGTCCTCCACCTCCTTCCCCCCTCCAACTTATGGTGGTTCTGGAAAACAGGCCCATCGTGTAAAGAGAGGGTGCCGGCGTAGCTGCCCCCCGCTTCGAGATGGGCCCGCTCGGGCCTCTCTACTCCCGTGCTTTACCCCTTCGCCCGCTTCCCCGTTGTTCGGCCTCCTGGGAGGCCCTCGTCGCCACGGCTGGATTCGCCTCGAGATCCTGGTCAGAATGCCCCACGGGCGAGGTCCGGGGAGTGGCGGTATCAGTACATGTTGGCTTCCCTGGTGTACAGAGAGGGTGTATGTTCTTCTTCGTATTATTATGTTCCGTGTTAGCATTTTAATTATTCATAGGAATATTGTTATTATTACTTGTCTTGCTATCATTATCATTAGTCGTGTCCTTCTTATTATTCTTACGATTCGTACTAGTAAGTTTAATAGTAGCTTGTTATTCTTCTTCTTATGATTAGTATTGTCGCCATTCGTATTCGTGAAATAGTAGTATTAGAATTCGTATCATTAGTAGTTGAAGTATTATTATTATTCTCATTATGAGTATTATTTTTTTATTTATTTATTATTATTAGTAGTATTATTAATACTGTTATTATTATTATTATTATTGCCATTATTATTAATGTTTTCAAGTAATGTTAGTGTTCTGAGTATGATGTTTCTTTTTATTATTTTTGCTATTATTCCTCCTCCTCCTCCTCCTCCTCCTCCTCCTCCTCCTCCTCCTCCTCCTCCTCCTCTCCCCTGCCCCCAATCGGACGTGCTCGTGCGAAACAAGTACCCCTACCTCTACCCCTTTGCCCGTTGTCCCGCTTTGGGGGCCTCCTGGGAGGCCCTCGTCGTCACCGCTGGATTCGCCTCAAGACCCTGGCCAAGACGCGTCCCGGGAGCAGCCCTATTTTCAATTACCTTTTTGGTTTCCCCAATCTCTGCCACCAGCCACCCACGACCCAGAGCGGGCGAAAGGGACAAGAGGAGAGGGGGCGGGCGAGGCCAGGCGAGGAGGTATTTCCACGCCTGCCTCGCGCTCGCTGCCTCGCTGCCTCGTGATCCTGGTCAGAAACCGAACCCCGGGCGGGGTCCTGGGAGCAGCGGTATCGGTACCTTTTGGTGAAGAGAAGGTGTGCCGATGCCGTTGCCTTCCGCCTCGTTTTCTCGCCTCGCTTCGGGCCTCCTGGGAGGCCCTGAGATGTCGACACCGCTACTCCTGGGGCTCTCCTCCTCCTCCTCCTCTTCCTCCTGCTCCTCCTCCTCATCCTCATCCTCCTCGTCCTCCTCCACCTTCTCCTTCTCCTCCTCCCCCTCCTCCTCCTCCTCCTCCTCCTCCTCCTCCTCCTCCTCCCTCCTCCTCCTCCTCCTCCTCCTCCTCCCTCTCCACCTCCATCCTCCTCCCTCTCCACCTCCATCCTCCTCTTTCTCCTTCTCCTCCTCCTCCTCCTCCTCCTCTTCTTCCTCCTCCTCCGCCTCCTCCCCTGCGCCCTCGGACGTGGTCGTGCGGAGGTCCCTGAGGACGCCCCGGGAGTGGCGGTGGCAGTAGATCGTTGGGGTTCTCCAGGTTCGTCGTGGGGGGTCTTGCCTCGGCGCTCTCCGCGCTGAGCCCCATCAGCGACGGTGACCCGATCGTTTTCGCTCGTTTGGACCTCCTGAGAGGCCCTCAGGTGCTGGTCCGAGGGCGCCCCGGGAATAGCGGTGTCAGTAGATCGCCTGGGTTCTCCAGGTCCGTCGTGGGGGGCCTGGTCTCGGCGCTCTCGGCGCTGAGCCCCATCAGCGACCCGACCTCGCGGCTGGGCGGCAACTGGACCCTCATCTCGGAGGAGAAGCAGACACCACCGCCACCGAGAGCCCCTCGGTGGGGGGATGGGCTGACCCCCGGGCGGTGGCCCGCTCGGCTGTGACTTAGTGCAGCGACGAGGCTCAGGCGTGCCACCTCCCAGGGGTCGATCCTGGATGGTTTCCCCGAAGGGCTTAGGCGACCCGTCGTCGTCCTCCTCCTCCTCCTCCTCCTCCTCCTCGTCGTCGTCGTCGTCGTCGTCATCATCGTCATCGTCATCGTCATCGTCATCATCATCATCATCATCATCATCATCATCATCATCATCATCATCATCATCATCATCATCATCATCATCATCATCATCATCATCCCTCCTCCTCCTCCTCCTCCTCCTCGCTCTTCCCTCCTCGGGTCGCCTGCGGCCCCGGGGGAAACCGTCCAGCGGATCCCCCCGGCGATGGGCTCTCAGTGGCCGTGCTCAGTGCTTCTCCTCTGACCGTCTACACGGATGCGCCGGACATCATCGGGATCCCCGCCGGCCCGCTGTCCGAGCTGGGCCGCATCGGGCAGGAGATCGACGCCGCGTCGGGCACGATCGCCAACGTCATCGAGTACGTGCCCTCGGGGCTGGCGAGGAGCCTGCCGCTGGGGGACCGCGCCTCGGGCGACAGGCTGGTGCAGCGGGTCTTCACGGCCTACCGGGCGAGCTCGCCCACCTCGGTAGAGCTGGACATCCTCGGAGGAGGGCGCGTCGAGGCAACGGGAGGTCGGTCTTCGGGGGGGCGGGGAGGGGGGAGAGGCGAGGCTCGCCGCCACGGCTCGGCGCAGCTTGGAACACCGGGCTCGTGTGGAGCCTGGGCTTGTTTTCCACCACCGCCACCATGAGTCGGAGGGGGGAAGGAGGTGGAGGGCGAGGAGGAGGAGGAGGAGGAGGAGGAGGAGGAGGAGGAAGACCCCCTCCCCCTCCAACTTATGGTGGTGGTGGAAAACAGGCCCAGGAGTCCCGGGATCGAGTTTTTGAGCTGCTGTTGTCCCAGCTCGCCCCGCTCCGAACTTCAGGGGCCTGGGCTTTTTCCTCGAGAGGGTGCTCGGCCTCGATGTGCCTGGCTTCCTCAGCCTGAAGCAGGAAGGTCCGCTGAGTCTGCCCTTCGGCCGCTTCGAGGTGCTGTATCTGGACGAGGATATCCGCATAGTGAAGACGGGGCAGGGCTGGACCAGCATCAATCGGCGCTACGACCCGGCGTTGGATCGCGCCTGAGGGCGCCGTGTTCTGAGGCTCTCCTGTGTGACGTCGCTGGAGACGGTGCCTCACATACCTTCACCTCTGCATCTCGTCCAGCTCCTCCCTCAGGAAGAGGAGGAGGAGGTTGAGGAGGAGGAGGAGGAGGAGAAGAGGAGGCGGAGGACAGGATAGGACAGGATAGGATAGGACAGGACAGGACAGGACATCCGCATGAGGGGGTCAACGGCAATGCGCCCGGAGGAGGAGGAGGAGAAGTAGGAGTCATCTTATTCTTGCGGCGTTTGAGGAAGAGCAAAACGGCATAACAAAAACATAAGATTTTGGCACTCCGCGGTTTTGTTTTATTGGATCCGCGATGGGCCCCCCCCTGCGGCGCCTCCAGCGCCGCCCCTGGCGCGTTCCGCGCTCCAGAGAGGGGGTTCAGCGCGGATCCAAGAGATCCGCGCGGACCTCCAGAAGTCTATGTTCTTGCCGCTTCTTTGTTCTTCCCCCCACAAGGCATTGCGCGTACTGTAAGCGTATTCACTGGGGAGCCTCGTCGAAGACATGGATCGGCGCCCCTGGATACGTGCATTGCTCCCCCCTGGGCTCTTCGCCCCCATCGTCGCCTCCGAACAATGGCACGGTCTCGAGGGAAGCAGCGCCACGGCCACAGACCTCGGTTCGACTCCTCGGACTCGATTCGGTTCCATTTCGATCGATTCTGATTCACATCCGATTCCACTTCGGGTTCCAATCTGGATTTCGGTTTCTCAATGGCGGCCTTACTACCCTGCCGAATCCGCCGATCCGACTTCTCCTGGCCTGGCTGCCGATACCCGCCGATTCGATTCGTTTCGATTTCCCATCTGGCGTATCGATTCGATTCTGGGCTCTCCTGTGACCATGACCCAGTTGTCGCGAGATCTTGTCGTCGCCGATCTTGGTCATGGTTCATGCCGGCCGTCGCCGTGTCGCGAGGGTGGTCCACGAATCGGCGGCGACCAAGATAGATAGCGACTAAGATCGGCACCGACGTTTCCGCGTTCAGTCTGAGTCGTAGTCTTCGTTGTCGTTGTGTCCACGCTCGGCGGCAGAAAATCCTAGGCACATTTTCAGGGCACGACAGGGGGCACTACTTACAGAAAGAGGAATTGCTGCAGGGGGTGCTCCCGAATCAACGCTGGTGGAACACATCATACCGTTGTCGTTCGATCCGAGAAATCCGCGCGCAGCGCCGACCGTGTACAGTGGAGGCCCATGCCAAGCCACACCCTGCTTGCCCCCCTGGGTTCCCTGGGTTTCTTTGGTGACGATGGCTTTGCGATGGAAGTCGTGACGCTCCCACACCGAAAGGTATCAGTGGACGTCCTGGGGTCGCGGGGCCAGGTTTCCCGTGGAGGGTTCCCTGTGGACTGGCCTCCACCGCGTTTTCACCGAGCGTGTTCCGCCACTCGCAGAGTGCCTGCTCGCAAACGTCGGACAATCGCACGTCTTCCTCTATGTGATGGATCGTCAATCCCCCACGGCGGATCCAGGCCATCTGCGAGTACAGTCAGCCATGATAGTAAGGGTGGGGCAACTTTCCAAGGCTACCCTTGCATCCTTGCCCCCTCGGTATTCGGCATCCTTCGGCATCCTGCTGCGCTCCGCAGGGGAAACGTCGACGTGGCGTTCCAAGGCCCTCGCATACTTGCCGCGCGTCCTTACTATCCTGGTCGAGCGTAGTTCTTCTGCGAGTGGTGGAGCGCGCGCTCGTCTGCGCACGCTTCTGCCGTCTCCGACCCCAGCTCGAAAAGCTCCGAAACGGGCCTCCAAGGCCCTTGCATCCTTGCCGCGCGTCCTCAGTATCGTTGTCGAGCGTAGTTCTTCTGCGAGTGGTGGATCTCGCTGCCCGCCCCCCCCCGGCCGCGCCGCGCAGGAGGAGGCCGAGAGGCAGCTGCGCGCGAGGGCGGCGGAGCGCTCGGCGGAGGCCCCGCTCGCGCGCGCGCCGCCCGCTGCGGGGGGGGGGGGCGCGCGCCCAGACAGCGTCGACCTCCCCAGACCTCCGACGATTTTGTCCCCCCTTCCTCCTCCCCCCCCTTCCTCCTCCTCCTCCTCCTCCTCCTCCTCCTCCTCCTCCTCCTCCTCCTCCTCCTCCTCCTCCTCCTCTTCCTCCTAATCCTCCTCCTCCTCCTCGACCTTCTCAGACCTCCGGCGATGTTTCCCACACCTCGCTTGCGCTTGCAAGCAGGGGGCCCTCAGTCCTTGTTCTGAGAAGCTGGGCCTGGCTGGCGGTCTGGCGGCTCCGTGGTCGCCGTCGCCCCGTCCTCCTCCTCCTCCTCCTCCTCCTCCTCCTCCTCCTCCTCTTTCTCTTCTCCTCTTCTCCTCCCTCTCCTCCTGCCCCTCTTCCTCCTCCTCCTCCTCCTCCTCCTCGTCCTCCTCCCCTCCTCCTCCTCCCCCTCCTCTCCCTTCTCCTCTCCCTTCTCCTCCTCCGTGGCCGCCGTCGCCTCCCCGTCGCCGCGTCGTCGCCGCCTGTCGTCTGGGCCTGGCTGGCAGTCTGGTGGCTATGCGGTCGCCAGCTAGACTGACTGCACGACGTAGGCTGCACCGCACATATTGCGCCACGTGGGGGCAGAGCGACCCCGGCGGCGCCGGCGGCTCCGCAGCTTCGCCGCCCGGGGCAGTGTCGGGGGGAACTGGCAGTGATGGCTTGGAATGCCTTGGCCTTTTTCGCTGCGGATTTCGTGCGCCGCGAGACCCGGGAGCGGTATCTCCGCTTCCTGGTTCGTGGCGGTGTCGTCTTCAGCTCGGAGGCTCCTGGCAGCGCCTGCCAACATGAAAAGCATGGGGGTCTCCACGAGGCTGTTCCTCTTGGTGGTCGGCGGGCCCCTCCGCGGCACACGCCGGCATCGGCATCTTTGTCAAGAGCTCGTGCTTGGGCCATCTCTTGGCAGGACTTGTGGCTTGGACGCGCTGGGCGGTTTCGACTGTGGGGGCGGGAGGGGGCGCTCGGTCTCATCGCGTGCTACTTCTCTTGGGCGCAACGGTGACGGAGGCGGACCGGTACGGAGCCTCCGAAACGCAGCGCTGGCGCTGTTCCTCTTTCCTTCCTTGCCCTCCGAGCGCTGCTTCGCGACCAGCTGGCCCGCCACGTGGCAAGTGCTAACCAGGTGTTGAGCGTCCTCGGCGACGATTTCAATCGGGTTACGGAGGCCGCGGACAGGCGCACCCGCAGCGGGGCAGAGGCCAGTGGCAGTAGGGATGCGCGGGAGGGGAGGATCTTTCAAGCGGAGCTTGCGTGGCCGTTCGGGCTGGAGGACGTGCGCTAGGCGGAGATGACTTTTGCGTCCGCGCGCTCGCGCTCCCGGCTACCGCGTCTTCTGCAACCAGCATGTGGTCGAGCAGGCGGAGCGTGACAGATTACTATTGCGTTGGAGTGGAAGCCTCAGGTGTCAGACCATAGGGTGGTGATGTTTTCGCGCCGCTTGCCGCAACGGCTCCCGGCGGACGCCCGTTTTCTTTGACGCGCAGGTGCGTCGCCCCGACTGGCTGGACGACCAACAAAACGTTGCGGAGTGCCCCGACGCCTCCAGCTTGCGGCGCCCGCATATGTTGATGGACTCCATGAGGTTCGCGGTCCCTCACGGTTCGCCTCCCGCTGGGCGCATGCCAGACGCGGCTGAATTCGAGGACCTCGTAGCTGGCGGAAGTTTGGGCGACGGGATGCGTTTCCCAGAGTCCGGAGCGTCGCCCGCGTCTGCGCTCCCTGCTGCCGAACCCGTGCGACGTCAAGAACCTCGCCGCGCGCGCCTTCCCAACCCGCGACTGACCTCGCGGTGGAGTTGGCGGAGTGGGGCGCGCCCATCGGGAGCAGCCGACGGGGGACAGCGCGCTCGCTGCTCACAGAAAGCAGCGCGCGAAACGCCTGCTCTCTCGTCTTTTCCGCGGACAGCTGGCGCTCGCGCGGGTCGGGTTGCGTCTGGGGGCCACCTCGCTAAGCCGACGGGCGCGGCCGAGGAGCTGGGCCGACGCTGAGGGGGGGGCGTCTTCAAGGCGAAGGGCGCGAACAGCGGTGCGTGCAGAAGAGCCTCGCGGAGGATGCCGCGTGCGACGGGGCGCCCGGCCCCGCCCGCGCAAGTTTGGCCGACCTGCGGCTCGCGAGGGGCCGCGCGACTCGCCATCCGGTGCTCGAACAGCTCTGCGCCAGGCCCGGGCGGCAGCAGCATGCCGCATGGCGCGCCCTGGAAGACCTCGCGATGGATGCCCTTTTCGATGCCGCGACTGTCTCTGCTCCCCGGAGGTGCAGGCCCTGCGGGTGGCGCACCTCCCCAGCCCCAGCGCAAGCCTCCTTATCTTCCTATCCGAGATCCAAGAAGCCGGGGGCGCAACGGCCGCTGTTCCTGGAGGGGTGCGGCCGTTGTCCATGGCCAACGCGAGCAACCGCGTCATTGCGCGCGCCATCGAGTTCTTGGTGGACTCGGCGCTGGAATCACTCATCGTCAGCTCGCTCGGTTTCCTGCAGGGGTGCTCCATGATCTGCGACGTCATCGACGTCGAGGAATGCATGGTCAAGACGGGGCTTTAGTTGGGGGGGAGCTGGTTTTGTTTTTGTGGATTGACTTCGCCGCGGCCTTCGCGTCCGCGCAGCAGCAGGTCTTGCTGGTCTTCACTTGCTGCCTGCGTTGGGCAGGTTGGCTCTCCTCCTTCAACCTGAGCCTCTGCCAGGAGAGCACGCGCGCGATCTGCCGCCCATTTTCCCGGCTATTCATGGCGCGCGGAGTCTGGCGGGGGCCGCGGCCCCTCTCGTTGCCATTCGCGGCGCGCGCCGACCTCCTTGCGAGAGCTGGCCAGGAACTTCCCGCATTCGGTCCAGATGGCGTTCGCGGGCGACCATAGTGCTCGCGCAGGCTGGGCCGGAGTTAGGGGGATTGCAGCTTGTCTCCGACGAGTTCGAGCTCCTGTCCGGGCTTGCCATGGTCGTCGCAACGCCCGATCTACCACGCGCGGGCGCCCGCCCTCCTGTCGTCCACCCGCTGATCGCGGACGCGGCCAAATTCACGAGAATTGATTTGCTGGTTTTCGGCCAATCCCGCCACTGTGCCTGGCATGTGGGTCATGGGCCTACTTTTCGGGGCCCTTCTGGGGGGCCTCTTGGAGGCCTCCCGGGGGTTTCGTGGGGCCCCCTGGGGGCCTCCTTGTGGCCTCTTGGAGCGGGCCTCCTGGAACCCCTGGGCCGCGGGCTTGACGTGCCCCTTGCTGTCGGGGCCTCCCGTGGGAGCCGCGTTTGGTTTTCTCGGGGGGGGGGGGGGCCGTCTTGGGGGCATTGTGAAGCTCGGGGCCCTGTTGGGCCGGTTGTCTTGGGGCCGTCTTGGGGGCCGCCTGTGCCGCCCGAGGGCGATCTCGGGGGGCCTCTTGGGCCGTCTTGGGGCGTCGGGGGGCCGAACAACGCGAGTGCCCCGAAAGACCTTCAAAACCCGTGGATGCCGTTTGCTTCTTGAGGCCCTCTTGGGGGGCTTCTAGGAGGCCTGCTGGGGCGTCTTGGAGGTTTCTTGGACAATATTGAAGTCATCTCGGGCGTCTCGGAGCGATCGTTCGGCGACCTGCGGCCCTCTTGGACCGCTTCGGGGGCCTTTCGGAGCCCCCTTGGCCCGTCTCGGAGCCTTCCTGGGCTCGGAGGGGGAAAAAAATCAAAAAACAAAAAACAAAAAAAACGCGACAAGATGCGGGGGGGCCCGGGAGGCGCGTGGGAAGCCCCGCAACACGTGGCAATTTGGGGTTCGTGCCCCTTGAAGACTTCCAAGGGCTACGCAGAGGGCCCGAGGGCGCACCCGCTCCATGCCCAGAGGCGCGATGGCGGATGCTTGTGGCAGACTGCGTCTGGTGCACAACGCATTCAGACGGTTGCCCATCGCAACAGGCGGTTATGCTGCGTCGCGCGCTAGAGAGAGGGATAGAGAGAGAGAGAGAGAAGAGAGAGAGAGAGAGAGAGAGAAAGAGAGAAAGAGAGAAAGAGAGAAAGAGAAAGAGAAAGAGAGAGAGAGAGAGAGAACGACTGTTATCATATGTTGGGCGCAGTTTTCACCATGGACAACTCATTCGACAAGGGGCTCGGCCAACGCGTGGCCGAGGCGTGGGGGTGCTTAAGCACATTCCGTGGTCCCGCCGCACATGCGGGGCTCTCGAAACGAGAGCTGCAATGTCGCGGCATGATACTTAAGGCTGTTGTGTTATGCAAGCCGGGGGCTTGGAATTCATTGCCCGCCAGTCGCGGCATGCGTCTGGAGTGCAGCGGCGCATCGTCAGAACCGTCGGAAGCATCAAGAAGTTTCCCCGCGACCAAGTGAGCGAGTATTGTGCGCGATGTGAGCATCGTAGATTGTTTCCAGAGCAATCAGGCGCTCTCAAGTTCAAGCGTCGGTGGTGGTATGTGCCGGGCACATTTTTGATTTGCAGGCAGGCTGGTCAGACAGGGCGTCTTGGACATCTGGTGGATCACAAATCGCGTCTTAATCTGGAGGTCGATCGTCCACCTGTGTGATCTCGCGGCGAAGCGTTCCAGATGGCAAGGGCATGCACGTTGTTTCCAAGCATTGGCATTGAGAAGTGAAAGGGATGCATTCAGAAATTCAGCCAGCAGGGAGTATCATGGACAGGCGTGTCGCTCACCAACTAGTCCAACCAGGCGCATCTTGAAATGTATCTTACGCGTCGCAACCCACAGCTCCTTGAACGAGGAATAGACGCGCGGAGTGTCCTTTGCCAAACTGTGAACGCCAGTTGCCCGTAACCCGTGACCCATCGCCGTCATCTTTCCTGTCGCCTTCCGCTCTTTAAAATCTATTTTCTTTATCCACCCCCGAAATTAAATAGTAGGGGGTCGCGGCAGTCCTCGGCGACCCGATTTTGTTGTTGTTGTTTTTTTTGGGGCGGGGGGATGGGGGTATATGATTGTTCGCTCCTGTGTATAATGTGTGTGCGTGCTTGTGTATGTG